CGAATAAGTTATGGCCAAAATACTAAACCGAGCCCAAATCGAACCTAAGCCCACCTACCTACGACCCAATGATCATATGGAGGGTCCGGAGGATTTAATCTCATTTATAAACAAATTAGGATTAATTGAAAGCTTCTATAAGTTTCTAAAATATCTTAATTATCTTTTTTGAAAAGATAAGATTAAAGAGTTTGAAATTCAATAAAACTTTTCTTTTTGAAAGTCCTAAGCTAATTCTATTCGAATTGAAAGACGTTCAAAGATAGATTTATAATATTGTCATGCCTCATATTTTTTTATCAAAATCTAATATAGTTGGATAGCCCTTGAAATTATCTTTCCAATGATATATTATAATATCAATTCCGAGCTATAACGGAAAAGCTATGAATAAAATATCAAACTCTATCCAAAACTGACACTGTCCCACTATTTCAGCCATATCTTTTATTATACAAAATATTTTAATCTGAATTGAATTGGGTTAGGAATAAGACTTCAATAGATTTCCAACTATATCTTATTTATCTTATTCCAATTTCTGGTCAAAAGATATGATAAAAACAAAAATGGCAAAAACTACTGTCTATCGGGGTTTATTCCGATTTAATTCGGAGCTTATCTTAATTCTTCGACCCTTCTTTTTTCATTGTAAATAGAGGTCATATCTCCCCTTTTCCAATCATCAAAAATCTTGATCACAAATTCATTCTCTTCTCCCTCTTTAGCCTAAACACTAGCCTCCCCATTCTTTCACTATTTCTTCCTTTAAGCACTCCACGGAGTCCATACATTACCCAAAGTTCTATATTTACACTAAGACGTGAAAGGTATAATTAACTAAGGGTTTGGACCAAATTAACTCTACTTTTTATTTAATTTAATTTTCATTTGATTTATATTTTTTTTTATTGAAGTTACTAACAGTTTATTCATGATTTCAGGTCAAGGAAACGCAGAAAGTGAGTAATTAATCACTTAATTACTCTTATTTTTATTCTTGTTGCTAGTATCATGATTAGGGTTATTATTTATTTTTTGATTTGATTAACGTTATTATTTTTGAATTTCTTCCAATATTAATGTTTATTCTATTTTTATTTATAATTACAATAATGCATGTTAAAGGGAATATGTAATTGAAAACCACGCCTAATAAGATAATTTGGACGACCGGTTTAGGTTCCTTTTTCATCTTGTAATTAATCGAAGTGATCACGATATTTTTTGAATTATATGTTTGCATTAATAATCAACAAATTTAGCTTAATAATAGTTTGGAGCAAATTGAATATTTTGTTTGCATGCCTTTGAGATCGCAGGACTCACTTTTCACTATAAGAATCGAGTAGAGGCCAATACGGGCGAATGTGACTCCATGACTCACTTCGTACCATCATCCCCGATCCTCCTTTCGTGGTTTTGAACCATATGAAGTTAGTAATTTCATGGATTATGAATGGGGTGGAACCTTCACGGGTCAATCGTTGTTGCCTATCGTTGTCCTTTTTATCGTTGTTGCCTTTTTATGATCCGTGAACGGTTTACAAGTTCCTTAAAAACTTGTTGGCGGCTCCCTACTTTCCTTGTCCCTAATCATATTATGTCAATTCCCACTTCCTATAAGTGTCAAGCATATTCACACATGCTTTAACTTAAGCGCACTTCGAACAACGCCTACAATGGAGATATGACAAAACATAGCCTAGCAAAGTGAAACTAACCATCATAACAAAACTAAACAAGGATTCAATAAGCACAAAACTAAACATCATTTAAAAAAAAAGGAAAAACAAATCCAACAAGCTCAACTAAAGAAATAGATGAAAACAAACATTATCAAAGCAAATAAATCAAATTAGAAGAAAGGATTAGAGAATACTAAAGAGGAACTTGATTAAAGATTGAAACTTGAAATTCTAACATTGGATTGAAATAACCTTGACCAAGTCTTGATTACAATGATGAAACTTAAAGAATAAGCTACTTTCTCTCTCTAAAAACTAGTAACTAATGATGATTGAAAATAGGATCATTACAAAATTCAATAAGAAGGCTATTTATATGCATCACCACACCGGAAATAAAAACCCAAGGTGAGCCATCTCTTCGCATGTCGCGCCCTCTCATAAATGGGTACTAAACCGCCTATCCAAGCAGGTCGCGCCTGCGGATGGAAGCTGGAGAGGCCTCTCTAATATAGGAGGGGCCGCGGCTTGGGAACAGGGAAAATTCACCCTGGAAAAGCCGCTCCCGCGGCTTTAGATGTCGTGCTCGCGGGTGGCTGAGGAGAGGCATTGATAGGTTGTCGTACACCTGTCAAAAATAAATTCCTAACAAAACTAACTAACAATGTAGTAGGATAAGTAGGGTTGAATCCACAGAGAGATGGCTATTCAATCTAACTTCTAAGGTATGGAGAAAATAAACAAGTCACGAAATTGGGATAAGAATATAGTCTAAATTAAAATAGGAATAAAACCACTAATAAAAAACCTAGGGTTATGGTTCACCATGCTTATAGTTCTAAATCTATCAAATACCAATAACAATTCAATCAATCAATTATCTAGAGCAATTGCTAAGCCTACGGTCAGGTCTTAACGCTCTCAATTCAGCACATGTAGTTCGGTCGCTAAAATAATCAGAATTGCTAATTGTAGGTAAGCCTCTAAAAGTAAGATCTTTCAATTCGAACTCTTATTAACAATAATTAATCAAACAATTAATCAGGTTGCAAGATTAACAATAAAACACTATCAATTAGAGAAATCAATAATCAAAATATTAAAATACCAATCAAGATTCATTATATAAACATGGATTCCCAACCCCTAGAAATAAACTACTCAAGCATGACATAAATAATAAACACTAGATCTAAGGAAGAAAACATAATTAAAAGCATGAAAAATAGAAATAAAATACATTAATAAATAAAATTAATAAACTCAAGAACAATCCATGGAGTTTCTCATGAGAAAAACTAGGGCTAAGAAAAAGAACATAAAAACGGCCTCCTCAAAAATATTAATCCCTTGAAGTATTTATAAACTTCCTTAATTCTAATCTAAAAATAAATAAAGGAAAGAAATAAGAAAATAAAGATTACATAAATTAAATTATTATTGTATGATAGAAGATGACGTGGCCCGAAGACTTGTGACGATGTGGAATGAAAAAGCTACTCGAGGCTTTAAGGCTGCTTGACCAGACCTGCGGGTGCAGGCTGGTGGCCGCGCCCTAACAGTAACAGCGGCTGATGCCGAGTGGTCGCGGGACAAGGGCGCAGCAACATCCCGCGGGTGGCTGACTGCATTGCTTGGATTTAAACGCCTATAAATTTTGTTATAGGAAGCTTCTTGAGGCTTGCAACCTATCATTGGAAAGCTCTTCAAGTCTAGTTTCCAGTGAAACCTGAAACGCTTAAATCCTATCTGTAGAACTCAAGATATGATCAAAATAGTGAGCAAAGTTCATTTTTGATACTTTGCAAACCTTTGTTTTTTTCTTCGTTTCTAACTCAAATTTATTTCCGTAAAGTGCATAACGACACTTGTGAATGCTATATTCATGTCTCATGCATATATTAATCAAAATCAACATCCATAAACATGGTATCTTCAATTAATAAACTTAATTCATCGGCTTCCATCTAAATATAATCCGAATCAACTCCAAACACTTCGAAAGCGTCCAAATGACTATCAAATTACCCGAAACATTGAGAAAAACAAAAACGAAGCATAATAGAGAACAAAACAAAAACTTATGCATTTGCGTCCTATAAAGCAACAAAAGACCTAAAAAGATACTATAAATTTAGCATAAATGTGACTATAAATCCTATATAAATGTGATTTATCAAATTCCCCCATGCTAAACTGTTGCTTGTCCCCAAGCAACACTAGACTCGAGACGGAGAGACAAGACAAATAAGTCTTCCAGGGAACCAAAATAGGACTGACTCCACTCTTGAGAAAACAATCAAACCAAAGTTATTAAGACCAAAATCTAGATCGGATACAAATGTAACCACTCAACATCATGATCCACAATTGAAACCAAACTTGGCCACAAACGATTTCCCAATCAAGCTAGTTTTCGCCGCACACCTTGTAGAATATAAATATTTGATGCAACAAAGGGTAACTTGGCGATAGCAAGAGATAATGTTCACTCAATCACCAAACACACATGCCGATCAAAATGACTTTATAAGCTTGTAAAGTGGCTAAGGTAAAGGGGTAGGATAAATTTTAGGAAATGTGAGCGAAAAAGCCAACTTGGGGAGCAATAACATTAATGCAACCAAATAATGGTCTAACCTTCAACTCGTTCTAGCTCCAATTGACATTACCAACTTTCTCCATTATAAAAAACCAAGATTGAAATCAACTATACATCGTCATGAATAATTTTTTTCATTCTTTTTCCTTTTTCTTTGCCTTTTTCTTTCAATTCTTTGGCTTTTTCAATGAGTACATATAAACAAGCTTTTTATTCTTTTTTTTTCCTTCTTTTTTTTTCCAAGTAACACTTCTCAACTATAGAAACAATTTTTTTTCAATATATATTCCACCTTATTTTGCATAAATTAAAGCTTGACACTCAAACAACGACACCACATCAATAAGTTCCCCAAGCTAGCTAAACTTGGGAATAGTAACCAATGGGGCTAAAGTGGATTGTAATGTAGCTACATATCAATGAATGGGCAAGACAACAACTAACATGGGTGAGCAAAGGGAACAAATGTATCTAAATATCATTTGAAGGTTACCTAATGAACAGGGCCTTTATCATATGCGTCAAGTGTGAATCATAATCAAATTACTAAAAAATCTCAAGCCAAAGTCATTCAAATAACAGACTGCATCAATCACACAAACACAGAGTAAGGTGACCCAACAAGAGAATTGGCTAGCTATACTTGAAATGCGACAACCACTCTTTCCACAAACCATTCAATTGATTCACACAATGTCAAGCAGATAGCAATGTATAGTGCAAACCGATCAAATTTTAGAATTATAACTAAGATCAAAAGAAGCTCAAGAGATTCAAATCAAATTCGCAAACTGTTCAAAGTCAAAAATATGCACTAGTACAAAAGTGACATTAGGTAACCCCAAACGGTAACACTTTCAATGTTATAAAGTTATTCGATATATAAGTAACACCCGTGTAACACTTTAGGTTTACGTAATACTTGGTTGTAACACTTTTATATTAGGTAGCACATAGTTGTAACACTTTGATTGTATATCATTGGTTAAAAAAAAAAATTTAAAAAAAACGTTCTTACTTCAATACTTCATATGACTCTCCCTCCTTTACTCTTTCCCAACTCCCTATCTTAAAAAATCAATTTATCACTCACCAAACCACCGTCAACCCCACCCCCACGCCTACGGCCACCCATTAGCCAACGAAATTCTCATCGGCCACCCCATGTCTCCACCAACTGGCCAACCAAGGCGGTTCCCCATGAGCACACGAGTCTTAGCCATGCCTTTTACTTCTGTAGTACATATTATACGTTTCGCTTTCATCTGCCTTCTTCCTTTAACATGATCTACATCTTCCCTATCAAATTAACCACTACGATCGTCCATTTGGTGGTTAAAACTACTTATGTGGTAAGATTGGTAAGATTATCTTTCTTTTTTGTTATTAATCGTTGAACATCAATTTAAAAATTTAGGGTTTATCGAAATTTGCTTGTGAGTATAATCAATTTGGGATTATTCTAAGATAGACTATTAAACTATTGGATATAATCTCTGAACTCATGACAAATTACAATGAGCGATTGTTTTTTTTTTTTTGCCAAAATAATATGTTAATATTGATTGATTGTTTCACCCACCCTTTAATTTTCTACTATACTTCCAATTTACTTTTCAAAATTCCCCGATTTCATGCTTTGACGCCCTTTAATTCAATTTAGATTTTGTTATTTGGGCGTATCGTCAATGCCCCACTCATTAATTGATGAACCAATTGCTTTATCTAATCGTATTTGGTTTATTTAATTTGATTCGTTAAGTGGGGTTTATTTGGTCTTTGAGGTACCCAATTTTATTTTAAGTTAAATTTTAGTTTAACATTGATCAGATTTTTTTTGGGTATGAAAAATTTGGATCTGGGTGAGAAGCTTATCTATATATTGACTGAATTAAGGAGTAAGGAGTTGATTGTGTGTGTAAAGCTTAGCAATTTCTCAACTGAATTGTTGGTTTGAGCACTTCACTGTACGTATCTTTTGAACTTTAAGATTAAATTTCCTGTGGCAGGATACTCAGTGTAAATGAGACATTTTGATTGCCATCTAATTTTGAATTAATTGCTTCTTATGTGATTTGGTAAGCTAAACTAGGAAGGAATATTCCAATATGAACGCAATCAAAGTTTTGAAGCTTAATCAATTGAGTGGGAGTTCAATAATGTCTAATCAGGTTATTTTTCTACCTTATTATAGTTATATATACATATGCTTTGCAACTACTTAATTTTATAGAATGCTATCAATTCATTGTTATATTTGTCAAATGTGCTTTAATATTTGTATAACCATACTTCTGTAATTTAAGAATTTATAATTGCTTGTTTAAAAGCTAATATATTAATCTATTATTGACTCTTTTGAGGAGTAAGGAGTTAATTGCGTGTGTAAAGGTTAGCAATTTCTCAAATGAATCAGTTTAAGCACTTCACGTAGCTTTTAAATTTTAAGTGTAAACTCCCTGTGACTCCAAACTTGGTGTAACAAGAAATTTCGAATGCCATATAATGTTGAATTAATTGCTTTCATGGGTTTTGCTTCAACTATATGTGTAATGCAAGTATATTTCTTGTTGGTTCATTTCGTAACTTTGGCGTTAATCTAATTTAATTAATCATTTATAGTAATATGCTTATATACGGAATATATAATTTGATTTTACTTTATTTATTCCACAATCCAATTTAGCCGCTTATGATTAATTCTACAAAATTTGATCAAGCTTATTATTATCAACTCATTAAGATATACTTCGTATGATATATTTTATCAGAGCTAGCCTACAACTTATTGAAAATCTGCCTGCTTATTTTATGAAGAAATTTAGATTCTTGTGGTTAATTAAATGAAAGTTGGTCACAACAGAATGGTTCCTCTCATATTGTCATGCCGGTATATGTTGGCTTTGCACTTAGATTGTATTCAGCTTCTCTACCTTCAGCTGATAATTACGAGTAAAAAGTTTATTCATGACCAATGTTGCACCTACCAAGATAACTTTTGGTTGGCTAAATGATATGTGTTCGAATGAAACTTTGAAAACAATTAAGTCGGTGTTGGTATTGCAGTCAATCGGTGTTGCTGTTGGTCGCTGTTATGTAAAGCGTCTTTTAGGTTTTATTTGAATTGTTTGGTTAAAATTGAATACATTGATCTCTAGTTTGGTTTCTTCTTTTTTTCGTGCTTTGAAACGAATGAAACTCATAATATTGACTTATGTTTTACTATGGTACGGAGTGAAGAATAATCTTATACTACCTTGCTATTTTATTTTTAGCTGCTAAAGACTCGAAAGCCTTACACAATAACCAAGCAACGTGAGCAATGGATAGAAGAAGAGAACAATAAGATTCTCGAGGCCTTGAAACTCTATAGCCGAGCTTAGTAGTGGATTGAAGGTTTTACTTTGCTTTAAACCTTTTCTTTTAAGTATTGTCGTTGAGTTTCTATGTCTATGAGTTTGGTCTTTCAAAAGGACATTAAACTGAATGACAAAGTGGGTGATAGTTTCACTACTTAATAGAAAATGAGAGTTATTCTATATAAAATCAAATTAAGGGAGAGGTGGGGCCATGGGGGCATAACATACTAGCTAAGTTGAATCATTTGATTGTTTGTTATCACTAAAGAGCATATCAGTCCGCTTGGCATGCTCACAAATGAAGATTTTGAGTAATATTTGAATAGAATTGTATCAGAATTCTTTTATCAATAATTCTTATGTTTTCTCACACCAAAACATGTTTGTTTACCATCATGCTAAGGTAATGTTAAGTGTTTATAAGCTGTTTTTTTTACTGATGGTTTTTCCTCTAAATTATGTGCTTCTTTTGATGATTTCTGAGTGTAACTAATCTCTCTCCAAACTCTAGTTTGCTTGTGCATAAATCTCTTTCACATTTTTAAAAATTAACATCATTATTACAGAATCATATCCTTTTAACCAACTTTGGTCCCCCCTTAGACTTTGTTTCTCTATTATTGTTGGCATTATCAAGTTGTTCTTGTATGCTTTGCTGCATGATATCACTTGGTAACTTTCAAGAATCAAGATTGTAGTTGAATAAGTCAACGCTTAAACGTACGCTAAAAGTTTACTTGTGAAGCAAATTTCAAAGATTAGTTACTTGTGAAAGCTTTTGTGGGATATTGTAATGTTATTTACAAAATCAAGCCATGTGAGATGACATACGTACATGAGGTTGAAATTAAAACTTAAAAGTTTTTAACACTTGACTGAGAAGTGATATACTATGTGTGTGTAAACTCTCCGTAAGGGCATAAAAGTAAATTTGTATGAATTAAAATTTCTTGCCTTTTCAACTTCTTGTTGAGATGGGTTTTTTTTCTGGGATGGGGTTAAACTCGATATTTTACAAAGCAATTTCCATTGTTAAACCTTGCAATGCCACAAAATGTGAATGGAAGATGCTTTGTATAATTAAGGGTTTGGTTACATCTTAACATCTCATAAAACGCAGTGTTTTTGTTCTTTATACTCTATACATTTTGAAAGATAACTGTAACATTTAATCAAGTATAATCTCATAAACAGTTAAGGAGTTTCTCAGGCAGTGAAGTAGGCACATTGTACACTTGACCTGTTTGCACAGTACACTAGTGTCCAACCTTGTACAATGGATCACCATGAATCCCAGTCCACCACCTGTTGTACTTGTATACATGCAGTAGGAACTAACCCAAGTAGCAACCCAGATTGTAGTTTATGCCTATATTCTCTTTTAAAAAGCACTAACTCTTATTATTGTTTTATTTCATTTTTGTTCTAATTTTTTTATGTATGATGATTTCACACAAGATCAAATGGATCAAGATGAAGAATTGGGATAACAAGTGATGATGCTATAAGAGGCACTTACTGTAACTGTTGCTTTGCTGCTACTACCGTTGTTTTGCTGCTGCTACTGCTGTTTTGTTGCAGCTACATACGGCTGTTTTTTACTGCTACTACTGTCTGTTGCTGACTTCTGCTACTGCTGGTTGCTGCCACTGCTAGTGCTGTTTGCTGCTGACTTCTGTTATTGCTGGTTGTTGCCACTACTAGTATTGTCTGCTGCGGTTGTTTGCTGCCACTGCTGTTTGCTGCTACATACTGCTACTGGCAGCTTCTGTTACTACTATTGTCGTTTTGCTAGCTAGGTGTTGTTATTAATGTTGTTTATGTCGTTGACTGGTTTTTGAAATTCAGAAGTTTATCTTATTTCCTCACTTTTTCTAAGTTAGAGATCGAAGTTGAATTTCTTTGTTGTATTATTATATTGTTTGGCCAAACATTAAAATTGGTGTTTATGGAATTTTTTTTGTAAAAATTATGAAATTTATCAATCCAAATTGCTAGCTATCATATATGTAATTTGTAATTCATAGTTGTTGTGACATATAATAATAATAATAATAATAATAATAATAATAATAATAATAATAATAATAATAATAATAATAATAATAATAATGATACCTATTAATTAATATGGTATCACATTAGTTTGCAAAAAGTGATACATAATGCTGAATAAAGTGTTACTATATGTCAAAATATGATAGAAAAATGTTACCTAATAATCAACAAAGTGTTATATTAGTTCGAAAAAGTGATACATGATATCGGATAAAGTGATACTATATGATAAAAAATGTTACTAAAGATAAGTAAGTGTTACATAAGATATAAAAAGTAACACTTTTAAAATGATACTAATAATAGAAAAAGTGTTACATAAGATGGTTTATAATAACACTTTTGAAAGTGTTACCATATGTTACCCAAAGTGCTACATATAACCTTAGGTAACATGGGCGGAAGTATCACCTAATAAAGTGTTACCTATTGTCTATAATAACACTTTTACCACGTTATGTAACAATTTTTGGGTGTTACTTGAGGTTAGTTTTGTACTAGTGATGAAAAATAGACACAAGTATGCACTATCAAAACAACTAAAAAACTAAGAAAGCAATACATTGTTTTTCGTTATATGTAAACTCCCACTCCTAATGAATGGTACAAACCATACAACACCTACAAAGCAATAAAAACTAAACTAAAACACAACTACCAAGCATAGAGAGTAATGATGACAATCATCCTCCCCCAAGCTAAACATCACATTGTCCTCAATGTGAACAAAGAGGAACTAAAGCATAAATAAGGAGGCACAACTAACAAAGGGGTGGGTAAGTGAAGGGAGTATCAAATAAACACCTCCACCACAATTGGTAGTTGTAATTGGGTAGCCGACATAGCCAAGGAACTTAGCTATGTTTGCACCTAGCAAAAGATGTCATCATTAGAACACATATTAGCATTATTATATAAATAACGGAAAAAAATTGAAATAAGAATAGGGAGTAGAAAAAAAAAAGAAAGAAAATACGGTTGCCTCCCAATTAGCGCTGGTTTTTAAGGTCCCGCACGACCCTACTCAATTATCATACTGTAGGGAATATTTCAAGCATTACCCCAAACTTGAACCCCACTGTGATCATACACTAAAGTACGGTGGCGTCCAAAGGGAAGGAAGATAGAGCAAAAGAGTCGCCAACAAGTTTTAGGAACTTGTAAACCGCCCACAGGGTGAAGGTTACACTCCTTAACGATCCAAGAGATCGTTAACTCCAATAGGTCTGGAACCAAGACTGGAAGTTCGGGGATGAAGGTACAAATCCAATCTAAAAGAGAAAGAACCTGCCCTAATAATATGCCTCTACTTTATTCTTCTCGTATTCATGTGCGCTTTGTGACTAACATGCAATCAATAGGTTTACTCTAAACCTGTTTAATGTATGTTGGTTGAATATTAATGCACAAATAATTCTATTATTGGTGATCACTTGAATTATAATCAAATTAACCCTAAACAAGATTATTAATTATCTTATTAAGCGTGATTACAAGTACCAATTCCCTTTAAACATGCATCAAACGCGTGATCAAGCAATGACAATAAAATATAATATCAAGCAACATAATAATAATAATAATAATAATAATAATAATAATAACAACAACAACAACAACAACAACAACAACAACAACAACAACAACAACAACAACAACAACAACAACAACAACAACAACAACAACAACAACAATAATAATAATAATAATAATAATAATTACAATCAATAATCATCATATTAAAGCATAATAGCAAGATCCTAGGCATGATACCAACAAGATTAATAATAAACCCTAGCATGTCACTAAAAATTAAAAATCAAAGCTTTATCCATAACATGATACTAAGAAAGAAAATAGGAAGCATCATAACAACCATAATTGATATAATTAAGAAACTTATTCTTACCCTAAACATCATACTAAGAAAAGCGTCCTAACATGATACTAGTAATCAAAATAACAACATATACATGATTTCTATATCAAAATATCAATTAAACAATTAAAACACTTACTTGGATACCTCGTACCTCTTTCTAATAACAAAATACAAACATTAGTAACTTCAAAGAAAATAATAAAACAAATCATTTAAATTAAATAATTAAAAGAAAGAGTTAAAAAGTTTAAATTGGATTTGGGACCAAACCCTCAGAAATATCAAATCTTTCACATCTAGGGCAAAGGAAACTTCGAATTATGCTAGGTGTGTCTAAATCTTGTGAATGCGGAATTTTGTTTGTGAAAAGTTGGTTTAGAAAAAGAGAGAGAGAGTATGAAGAATTTCTTGATGAGAGTTGGTGAGAATTGATGAAGATAATTGATGATTAAAAACGGAGGTCTAAGGACGCTATTTATAATGAAAATATTCTGATTAGATAAAAAAAAAAGAATCGGAGTTTGAAGAGGAATAAAACATGTCTCTATTGCCGCGCAACAGGCCTGTCGTCCGGCGCTGCAACACAGATTTTACGGATTTTGTTTTTATCATATCTTTTGATCCAAAAGTCCAAATAAGACATATAATATGTAGTTGGAAATCTCTTGAAGTCTACTTTCCAATCCTATTTAAATCAGATTAAAATCTTTTATAGATAAAAAGATAAAGCCGAAATAGTGGAAGGGTGTCAATTTTGGATAGAGTTTCATATCTTATTCATATCTTTTTCGTTATAGCTCGGAATTAATATTATAATATATCATTGGAAAGTTAATTTCAAGATCTATCTAAACATATAAGATTTGGATAAAGATTATGAGGCTAGAAAATAATATCTGAATATATTCCATTTCGTACAAAACAAAGATTATCAAAAGGAGTAGTTTTATTCAATTTAAAACTCTTTAAAACATAATTATCAATCCTAACTCCATTAGGATTTAAGAGAACCTTTTAGAGTATTCTAGAAGAGTATAATCAATCCTAATAGCTTTAGGAATGATAATTAATAACAGACCCTCCTCTAGATCATTGGGCCGTATGTAAGAACCAAACCGGGCCCAGTTTAGTATTTTGGCCATAACTTCCTCATTATTCATCGGAATTGGGCTTATAATATGTCGTTGGAAAGGAATTTTCAAGCCCCATCCAACTACACCATTATTGGACCCTTTTCATGGACCAAACTAGAATGAACATTTTTCATAAATAGGGTAAGAAAAGAAATATTTTTAAAAATAAAAAGAAGAGATATTTTAATAAAAACATCCTCATCACTAGACTTTTCACACTTTCGCTTTGTTTGATAACAAATGACATGAAAGGTATTCATCACTGGGTTTGGTTTTGGGGAGACACATTTGGGTGTCTACACATACGCCTTTGCAAACATATCATTGAGCACCACAAATGACTTGAATACAAGCACACCAATCTTGAAATACAGGGGGTTAGAAAAAATAAAAGAAAAATATTCGGAAAAATAAAAGTTAAAATAATAAGAAAAAGGAGAGTATATAAAACTTACCTTTGCTTTCTCCTTAGGAAATGTAGACCTTTTTGAATAAACATCAAGGTCTACATGTCCAAATGTATCATGGCATGGAGACATTTTAAGAAAGTAAGGATGATTCAACATAGTGAATGAAGGAACTAGATTAAACCTCTGGGAAAACGGGATATAAAGGGTTAGTGGGTTAAGCTTAACATCAAAAGATTCAAAGCCAATGGTTTCTCAACCAAAGACTTAATAATAATTGGTTGTTCTTCCTTCTCCACTACCTTTATATCTTCATTCCAATAATTTTCACCATCAGAACCATAAAGAGATGAAAGATTATTCTCCTCTATTATACTTTCACTTGACGGGGAGTAAATCTCATGAGTCAAATTCTTGCTTTCCTCCACTAAAATACAATCCTCAAAACCAACATCATTATCATCATGTATCACCTGTTGGTTAGTATATTGTTGCACAGCAAGTAATTCAATAGATTTTGAAATACGTTGACAATCATGCATCAATTCATTAAGTTCTTCATGCTGATTAACAATAAACTCATTCATTATATAGAAAAGTTCCCTACACTTAGATGAATTGGATTGAGCATAATTATCAACTTGAGTTAGTAAGTGGAATTTAAATCAGGCTTATAAGACTCACTAGGGTAATAAGAAATTTCACAGGAATTCATGCACATATTTTGTGAATTTTGATAATCATGTGATGCATCAAACATAGAAACATTAGCATTACAATACTCAGAATTATAATCATATTGCCCCTAATAATTAATAACATTCATCCCATACGAATTATAATCATACCACTCCATGATAGCACAATAAGAGTAAAATAAAAAGGAAAATTTATACAAAATTAAAAAATAAAATAAAATAAAATATATATACAAGTTTAGTTAAACCAACTATAAAAGTCAAATCAAATTAAGCCCTCTCCCCGGCAACAATGCCAAATTTTGATAGGTTGTCGTACACCTGACAAAAGTAAATTCCTAACTAAACCAACTAACAATGTAGTAGGGTAAGTAGGGTCGAATACACGAAGAGATGGCTATTCAATCTAACTTCTAAGGTATGAAGAAACAAAACAAGTCACGAAATTGGGATTTGAACATAGTCTAAATTAAAATAGGAATAAAACTACTAATAAAATAATGTAGGGTTATGGTTCACCATGATTATAGTTCTAAATCTAACAAATACCAATAGCAATTCAATCAATCAATTATCTAGAGCAATTGCTAAGCCTACGGTCAGGTCTTAACGCTCTCAATTTAACATATATAGTTCGGTCGCTAACATAATCAGAATTGCTAATTGTAGGTAAGCCTCTAAAAGTAAGATCTTTCGATTC